ATTATATAAAATTATAATATAATTATGTAAAATTATAATATAATTATGTAAAATTATAATATAATTATATAAAATTATAATATAATTATGTAAAATTATAATATAATTATAATTACATACACTTATAATTATATAAAATTATAATATAATTATGTAAAATTATAATGTAATTATAATTACATACACTTATAAGATAATTATGTAAAATTATAATATAATTATGTAAAATTATAATATAATTATATAAAATTATAATATAATTATATAAAAGGGGAGTAGTGCCACAGAGGTTAGAGAAGGTGGGCCTGTGATTGGAATGTCGCTAGTTCAACTTCCCAAACTGAAAACATGAAAATGTGGGTGGGAAAGGTGAAGCACCCACACCTGTCTCCACCCTCATTTTCTCCACTCTGGGCCCTTGAGCAAGGCCCTTAACCCCCAACATCTGCTCCCTCGGGTGCCTTAGGTGCAGCTCTGTGCTCCACACCGAGGCTGTGGTAGCTCAGTGGTGTGTGGTTGTGTCAGGAAGAACATCTAGTATAAAAACACTCACCGTGCGAGTTCGTTCACTGTGGTGACCCCTGAAGAAGGGAGCAGATGAAAGAAGAAAAAAATCAATAAAAGATTGAAGAACATGACTCTGTGTAAGCATTTTCTATGATCACTCTGAACTGTGATGTCATCTTTGGTAAACATGAATACAGAAGTCAACAGCTTGTACAGTTAATAATGAAACCAAGCAAAACGCCAACAGATGTTTCATTTTTCAACTTCCCAGAACACAAGAAGTTTGACTGGTTTGGTTACTTCAGCTCAGGTGTGAAAATGACATCATGAAGTCAGGAGTCACCTGTTGTTTGTTATATTACCTGTTATTGACCTATTTTCAACAACGGTGTCTGCACCACAAAACAACTACAGGTAGTTTTCAAACATTCAAGCTCAGTGTGTTACGGGATGATGTCACACTCTACCTTTGAACTTTTCTACTTATTAAACTTTATTCTAACCAATTTGTCTTATTACCACAATCTACACTTCTACACTTAATGCAGTAAATTGTAGGTGTCTTGTCATTTTAGATCGCAGAGGGAGTCCTAAATTACTAGTTAAGCAATGTAACAGTAATGAGAATTTCAGGCAGGAGCTGCACAGGCACCTTCATCATGTCTGCAGAAATGTTTGTTTGCTGACCTTTGACAGGCATGTGCATGTGTGATGTGTTCTCTGCAGCCATCCTGGTCTACAGGGTGTTTCGTAATGAAACAAAGAGGAATGTGAAGCTACTTCATGGCATCATTCACCTCCTGGCCCTCATCATCAGCATCGTGGGTGAGTCTAAGAAGAAAGATAAAGAAATGATAAACGGATGCATGTGAGTCCTGAAGGTGTCCCTGTGCTCTGTGTGTAGGGGTTGTAGCTGTGTTTGACTTCCACAAAGCAGCCAACATCCCAGATATGTACTCTCTGCACAGCTGGTGCGGCATGGCTACCCTTGTTCTGTTCTGCGTACAGGTACATTTATTTAGTGGTGTAAAACGTGTTTGTGCCAGTTAACGTTTTCCACATTTAGTCTCATTCCAACCACAAACTTGAGTGTGTTTTACTGAGGGTTTATATGACGGACCAACACAAAGTAGCTACAGAGTGCGCTCTCAGGACATTATTACCTGCAGTGTTCCCTCAGTGAGGACTGAACTAGACAAAAGAACCTTCTCCTACTCCGCTCCTGTTTCCTGGAATATCTTACAAAAGATCTGAAGCTCTCGACCTTTGACCCCTCTAAGTGGCTTTAAGAATCTGTTGGACTCCTGGCAGGGACCAAGGCAGACATGTTCCTGTTCTTAGTTTTCTACATTCACCTTAGAATCTAGCTGGGTTTTTTTTTGTTACTTTTCTTTTCTTTTTACTTTTTTTTTTTTAGCCATCCTATTTGTTAAAAATTAAAAAAAAAAAAATCTGTATGACTTTTTGTGACTGTTTATTGTTGTCATCATTCTTTGTTGAAATCAGGTCTCTCTTGTAAATGAGTCCTCGAGGCTCAATGGGATTTACCTGTATAAATAAAGGTTGATTGAGCTGTGAGGTGGAGGGAAAATGGTCCGGGTTTCAAAATATTTTAAATAGAAATCTGAAAAGTGTGTCATCTGACCACAGATTGTCAGTTGAGAGAGGCACAGTGGCCCAGTTGGTAGAGTTGCTGGATCAACTCGTGGTCGGGGACCTTTAAACATGTTTTTACACACACACTCCACACTACTCAGGCTGTGGCCGAGTGGTTAGAGCAGTCGTCCTCCAATGCGAGAGTTGGGGGTTTGAATCCACCAGCAGTCACATGCCTAAGTGTCCCTGGGCAAGACACTGAACCCCTCATTGCCTCTGACGTGTGTCCCATCAGTGTATGAATGTGATAAAGCTCTGATTAGTCTCTTTAGAATGATTTGTTCAATTAGCTTTGTAGAGATCTAGTATAGAGCTGTATGAATGGGTAAATGAGGCACAGATTGTTGTAAAGTGCTTTGAGTATCTTGAAATAAAATAGAAAGGCGCTGTATAAGTACAGTCCATTACAGTCCATTTACTATTTTAGGAGCGTGTGATTAACATTCAATGAAATTCTTCATTTTGCTGCATCTAGACATAATTTTTTAACATACAGAGACAGGAATCCCACATGCAAACATGATACATCTATTTTACATATTTAGATGTAGGCGTGTCGAGGGAGGAGTCGGATATTCCCTCGTGTGTACTCAATTCTATGTTGAATGGGATAAATTTCAATTCATTTCAGTTTATTCACATACCATACCATACCACTTTATTTCTAAAGCACTTAAAACAGCAACAAGGCCAACCAAAGTGCTGTACAGACAAAACAACAGGTAACACACAAAGCAAAATACAAAATGAGGTAAATCAGAAATATAGACAAAAAATGATGCAGATAGTGACGACAACCCAGTGTAGAACATACAGGATCAAAACACAGATCCTCTGGTGTTGAAAGCTACTGAATAGTAGTGAGTTTTTAAACGGGACTTGAAAACAGAGAGGGAGGGGGCCTGTCTGACAAGCAGAGGTAACTCATTCCAAAGTCTTGGTCCTGCTACAGAGAAGGCCCTGTCACCTCTGCGCTTAAGACGAGTTCCTGGAACTGTGAGGAGCAACTGGTCCGCTGACCTCAGGGAGCGTGGTGGGACATATGGTTGTAGCAGATCAGAGAGATGGGGGGGGGGGGCGACACTGTTCAGTGATTTGTAGACATAAATGAGTATTTTGAACTGGATTTGAAAGTGAACCGGTAACCAGTGCAGTGAGGCCAAAACTGGTGTAATGTGCTCTCTTTTGCCTGTACTGGTTAAAAATCGGGCTGCTGCATTCTGGACCAGTTGTAGTCGTGCAATGGAGGTTTGACTGATACCAAACAGGAGTGAATTTCAGTAATCAAGCCTAGATGTAATGAATGCATGTATTACTGTCTCCAGGTTCTTTTTGGACAGTATGGGCTTCAGTTTAGACAGCTGCCTCAGTTGGAAGAAACATGATTTAACAATCATGTTTACATGATTATTAAGTTTCAGGGAAGGGTCCATTATCACGCCCAGATTAGTGACTCTTTGCTTTTCTGACAGGGTTAGAGTGGAGAGGTCGATGCAGTGGTTTGTGATCGTGTCGTTGGGAGGGAACAACGTGACTTCAGACTTCTTTTCATTGAAACTCAAGAAATTAAAAGCCATCCAGTCCCTGATGTCAGCCAGGCAGTCGAGCAGCGGTTGAATAGAGCATGTACCATTGTGTCTTAGGGGGAAGTAAATTTGACAGTCATCGGCATAGAAGTGGAAGGGCATGTTGTGTTTCCGGAAAATAGCACCAAGCGGCAGCAGGTATAAAGAGAATAGGAGGGGACCCAGGATGGACCCCTGCGGAACCCCCCATTTAAGCTCTGCCTCTGCGGAACTAAAATCCTTGATGGAGACACAAAAGGATCTGTCAGCGAGGTAAGATCTGAACCAATTGAGGGCTGACACTGTGACGCCCACCCACTGCTCCAACCTAGCAATGAGGATCTCATTGTATCAAAGGCGGCTGTGAGGTCCAACAGGACAAGCAGCACAGAATCACCGGTATCTGTGAATCTGAAGATGTCATTAAAGACCTTCAGCAGGGCAGTTTCAGTGCTGTGGAGAGGTTTAAAGCCTGATTGGAAAAGCTCTAAGATGGCGTGACCCTCCAGGAAGCACTTCAACTGGGACTCGACTACTTTCTCCAGTACTTTAGAAACAAATGGGAGTTTGGAGACAGGCCGGTAGTTGGAAACGACTGAGGGGTCAAGGTTTGTTTTTTTCAGGAGAGGCTGGACAGCAGCATGTTTAAAGGATTTTGGCACCACGCCAGTGGATAAACTACTGTTTACTATGGCAAGAATGGACGGACCTAGAGTTGGAAACACCTCCTTTAGTAGTCGAGGGGGGACCACATCAAAGGGGGAGCCAGAAGGTTTCAAGTTGCACATGACCTGCTCTAGAGAAGATAGAGTGATGGGTTCAAAATGGTCAAAAGGAGCTACAGATTGAGGTGGGATGAAGGATCTTGAGTTGGAGGGGAAATGAGAGCCCTGGTGGTCGCAGTTTTTTCCAAAAAGAAATGTGAGAAGTTGTCGCACAGCTCAGTCGAGGCTTCCAGAGGTGATGGTTCAGTGAGGTGGAGAACAGAGTTTAGGGTGGAGAAGAGGACACGTGGGGTGTGAGAGTTTGAGGTAATTATATCAGAGAAGAATTTTGATTTAGCAACTTTTACTGCTTTCTGATAACGGCGCTGATATAGGAATTATTATTTTGATGCTTTTATGTCAATTTATACTCATTTACATGTAGTTTAAAAACACACTTATACAACGTGTTATTCACATATTAGGGATTGTACTTTGTTTAACATGTCACAAAGACAAAGGGGGGAATGATTTATGTTGCCTTTGTTAATATTTGGGACGTTCTTTGATGGTTTGCAGAGGGATGGAGGAGTGCGTATTTCCTCTTAGGAAGTTTAAGGAGTATTTCTAACTTCAAGGTCTTGGCCCGCCTTGAAGTCACACTGCTCCTTATTTGTAATAAATCACCAGCTCCTCATCCGTTGTTCTGGTAACCATCAAAGTTGTTTTCCACTGCTCTCACGCGATCCGGTCAGGGAAGAAGGTATAAGAGGAAGTGTGACAGGCAACTTAATCTTCGGAAGTCTTGGTGTGGACCAGCGCGCTGGTGCCATGCGCAATTTTGATGTGATTCTTCTTTACCTGGGTCGAAAACTGCTTCCCGGCCAGTGTCATGGTGAGAAGTTCTTTCATATCATTCTGTGTGTTAAGAGTGTACAAGTGTACATGTTCTTGCTTGGCTGTTTTCTGTGGCAGGTTAATAAATGACACTTATTATTTCTAGCAGTAACAGCCTCTGTGTTTTTATTTTTTCCATCTTGTCTGAATATCTGTGCCGACCGTTCACGAGCCCTTTTGATAAAGAATTTCATAATACAGGCGCCAACTCTCTTTAAGTATTTGAAAAGAGACCTGCAGCCTGTCTTTCCTCCACTTTCGTTCCGCCCTCCTACATTGCTGCCTAACGGCCTTGGTGACGTCACTCAGCCAAGGTTCTGCTTTGATTTTTGATTTTTTGGTTTTAACAGGTGCGACATAGGGCCAAGTCACAACAGAAGTTGACTCAGGGCACTGAACAGAAACATTCACATACATTTCATTTTACGCACGGTTTTATGGATTTCTCGATTTAAGCGTACACCATGTTTCAGTAGGAAATCCATGCAAGTGTAACACACGAAATGAGGACAACTTCAATCCCGGTGCCACAAGTGTTTATTTAGTCTGTAACACAAAACAGAGCTTTAAAATAGGCAGCAATACGTTTCATACTGGCTTCTTCTAACTGTTACTCGCTGCTTCTGCATTAAACGGCTGTAAAATGCAGAGAAGTGCGAGTCAGTGAGTTCTAAACTAGACCACTGCTGTCACCTACTGGCTGGAATAAGAACTGGCTGATTTTGTGTTCAAAGCAGATGAGGCCCCCCAAAACACCCAGCGTTTCACAATACAAACTGAGACCCAGCCCAGAAAGGCAAGATGAATAAATCATTGAAAACCCAAGGGTGCCACACCCTCCCCCTCTAAATTTAGGAATAATAATGATAAATATATATATAATCTTGGGCAGCACGGTGGCACAACTGGTAGAGCTGCTGCCTCTCAGCGAGCAGGTCCCTGGTTCAAACCCCGGTCCAGGGGCTTTTCTGGGTGGAGTTTGCATGTTCTCTCCGTGCATGCGTGGGTTTTCTCCGGGTACTCCGGTTTCCTCCCACAGTCCAAAAACATGCATGTTAGGTTGATTGGTAACTCTAAATTGTCCTTAGGTGTGAGTGAGAGAGAGAGTGAATGGTTGTTTGTCTCGTTTGTCTCTATGTATCCCTGTGATGGACTTGCGACCCGTCCAGGGTGTACCCCGCCCCTC